TTAGACTCCTGAAACCAGATTGTCAGCTGCTTTTATTCTCAGCAACATATGACAGTGAAGTTATGAATTTTGCGAATAGTGTAGTTTCTGATGCAGTAGTTATACGACTACGTAAAGAAGAAGAAAGCTTAGACAATATAAAACAGTTTTATGTTATGTGTGATTCTGTTGAGGCAAAATACGAAGCTCTTGCGAATCTGTATGGTGCTTTAACAATTGGTCAGACAATGGTTTTTTGCCATGTAAGAATTTTTTTTTAAATTAATATATTAATGATTAAAATTGCTGACATGCATATTTAATGCAGTCTTGAAGCATTAATATGGATATCTTATGCAGTCCTAAAACTGTTGTTAATAAGACATTATTGTTTTGCGTTGTTAAATATACTACAATAAACAAGACTTTTATAGACATCTCAAAGAAATGTAGCAGATTTTACAATACAATTTCACAAATTACTTTTCATTGTAGTTTGCCAGAATTACATTGTTACATTTTAAAAATCTTTCAAACTATGAACAGTTAGAATTAAAATTATAAATGTGTCTGTTTTTTTTTTTTTTTTCCTTTTTTTTTTTTTTAATTGTTTGAGTGATTTCAATCATATTCCTTAACTGAATGACTTTTTAAAAGTTAGCCAATTATTTAATCCTAACAAGGTATTTAATTTATAGTTCCCTTGCAATTATCAAATGAGGTTTAGGTGGAGGAACTAAATGCTCAAGATCTGTTACAATTTTTAAAATTTTGTATGTAAATTTTGCTGAAATTTACAGTACCAATAATCATGCAATCTTAACTTTTTTTTATAATTTGCATTAAAATATAATTTACCGTCTGTAACATTAATTAGAACTTGTAATTGTTGTACATCACCAGTGAAGAACCCCAGAGTTTATTTGGGGATACTGGTTTTTTTTTTTCAGCAATGTTGACGGGGGGGGGGGGGGGGAATTATGTTTTTGATTTCCCCCTACCCCGCATTCTCCTCTAGTTAAACGGGTGCCGCAACAATAATTTTCAATCATCATTTTCTTAATAATCATTTATGTTTATTTTGTTCAGTTTTATCCTATAATAAGGTGTTGATTTAAAGGCATTTTTTGAATACATGAATTTACTGGTGGACGAAGTTACTTTAGCTAAAAGAAAACTATTTTACTTAAGATTTTAACAAACGCTTTTGTTGCATATACCACGCTATCAGTAAATAATTATTGAAAATTGTTTAAAGTATTTTAAACAGTTATTAACTATATTTTAGAAAATTTAATTTAAAATAATAATTAAAAATATTTTAAACAATTTTTAATCAATATTTACACTACATAATATATACATATATTATATCGCGTAACATTTGTAAAATCAACAAAAAAAGTTTTACGTCTTGTATTTGAATTAAAAACAAGCATTTTATAATCAAATTCAATAAGCATTTAATAAACGTATTTAATAAACTATTTGAATAAAAAATAAACATTTAATAAACTTAGTTTCTATTATTTTAAATGTAAAATTTTGATTTAAATATTAGTAAATCTGTTCATTTAACTTTTACCAAAGGTAATAATATTTTAAGTGATTTTAAAGCACCTTTTAAATTAAAGATGGTTAAAGAGATTTTTAAATATATTCTATTATTTTGATCAAAAACAATATTATATTTTTAAAAACATATATTTAAAAGAATATATTATTTTAATTATTAAGAATAATTTAAAAAGTTACATTTACTTTTTTTTTTTTTTATTATTTAAGTCTTTTCCTTTTCCTCACATAACCTAAAATAGCAAACTAAAGATCAATAGTTCATTCATTTAAAAATTAAACTTGCACGATAGTTACAAGGATAGTTACAAGTTTGCACGATAGTTACAAGCTTTTTTTTACTTATGTTCATTTATTATCAAAAGCAGTTTACTCTTACTTGCCAAAAACAAAAATTAACCTTACGCTGAATGAAATTAAAAACGCTTTAACTTTCAAAAAAGCAAATCTTTTATACATTCCATTGTTATAAAATTTTGCTACGTGGTTTTAAAATTAAGTTTCGTTACGACTTTCTTTTTTTTTTAAAGTTATGTCCAGTTAATAACCGAAGGCAAATTACGTCACATAGTTATGTTAAAAAGCAATTTCTTTTTTATTTTCCTAAAGAAAAAATGAGGTAGCTAAATTAAACTCAGAATTAATTATATACTACTGCATTTAAAACTAAATTTTTTATTCTTTTTTTCATAAAAAATCAAAATTAAAAATAAAAATAACTTTTGGGCGCTATTTTTTGGGCGCCCATACCGGTAAAACGGTACTAAAACACGTCTGGGTTCTTCACTGATCACTGTTCATAAACAAATGAAAATCCTTTTTCTTTTCACAAATAAAAACATTGACAAATTTATAATATTATTGAGTCGAACTACGTCATTTTTTTATTATTACTATATTATATAAAATTATAAACAGTTTTTTTTTGGTAATTTTTAGACAAAAAAATCAGTAAACTGGCTTGCTGAGAAATTATCAAAAGATGGCCATGCTGTTGGATTACTCACTGGAGATCTAGAAATTGAGCAAAGAATTGACATACTTAATCGATTTCGTGATGGTAAAGAAAAGGTTCTCATAGCTACAAACGTTGCAGCTCGTGGTATTGATGTTGAACAAGTAACTATTGTCATAAATTATGATTTACCTGTTGATGCTATGAACAGACCAGACTTTGAAACATATCTTCACAGAATAGGGCGCACAGGTAGATTTGGAAAAAGAGGTCTCGCTATAAATTTTGTGGACGGTCGTAAAACCATGGCAATGGTAGAAGCAATTAGTAAACATTTTGGTAAACCTATAGATCTTTTACAAGTAGACGATTTAGATGAGCTTGAAAAACTTAACGCAAAATAAAAGTATAAGTTTACTTGTATATTTAATAAAAATATTTCTAAATGTTTTTTAGAAAACAAATTTCTACACTTATGTGTAGAATTTCTACTATGATATGCATAAAAACAATAAATTTCTTAAATAAAAAAAGTAATAAAGTTCTACACTTATGAGACAATGATATACATAATAATGACGAAGAAAATAATATAAAAATGCAGTGCAGTTTATTACTTTTATATTAGCCAGAATTATTATGTATATTAGAGTGTGTCGATTTTTTTTTTTTTTTTTTTTTTTTCAAAAAACGGCTGGGTTACTTTTGATGAATTCGATGGGTATTCCGATTCTGTAAAAAAAAAGTAATTTAAAAAATTGATGTCTTACTGGGTGAGTCAGCGTTGTTTTTAACGGATAAATGACTAAAATATGTCTAATACACCGATTGAGCTTTGTAACGCGCCATTTTGATTTGGGAGTTCGAGACCCCGCTGGAGGGATAAAAGTAGAGACAACATTTTAAATCTCCCGTTAAAACTTCAGAAAACATCTATCAAAAGTAAATAATCATCTATCAAAATTATTCAAATAAAATTCTTTTAATTATTAAGTATAATCAGAAAACAAAATTTGATGCCGAAAGTTAATTGTGCCGTAAATGGTTGTGCAAATAGTACATATAGGTTGAAAAAATGGAAAAAAAAAATGCAATGAACACCATCAAAATATAAGCAGAGAGGAATGCTCATTATGTGAAAAGCCATTTTTATTATACAAATTTCCATCAGTAAATCAGAAAAATAAAGAAAGGCAATTATGGGTGAAAGCGTTTAGAAGAGAATTGATAAATAAAACATTATGGCAGCCAACAGGTAGTGATAGGGTATACTCCATGCACTTTGTTAATGGAATTCCTTCAACTGCAAACCCTACGCCTACTTTATGTCTTGGATATGAAATACAAGCTAATAAATCTAGAAGAAAATTATTAAAACACCCTATACCATTACAAAAGCAAAAGCTTGACTGCACTGCTAATACAAGTTGTTCGACTTTGATGACACTTGCTTCAGGACAGTCACCTCATTCTAATGATGTTTTAACAGATTTATATGAAGTAAATAGTTTACAATTAGCAAATGTATCATGTAGAAAATGTATCATTCTTGCCAGTATCTGATCATTCGTATTTCAAAGTATATGTTGACATGAGCAATTTAATCGAATCACTCATCAGTAAAGTAAACATGTTAACATTAACTTGCCAAAAATTAAAGCTTCAAAAGTTATTTGATAGTGTTGAAAGTTCAGTATTTACATGGAAAAAAATTAAAACTGATGCTAAAATGAACTTTTACACTGGTTTATCAACAATTAAGTTATTTGAGAATTTGTTTTTAATAATTAAACCATATTTACCCAATTTAGTTTATTGGTCTGGTCCAAAAAAGTTTACCAATTCTAAAAACCAAAAAAAAATATGCTTCAATGAACAAATTTAAAAAAATTATCACAAAGAGATGAGTTTTTACTTGTTTTAATGCATATAAGATTAGGTCTTCTAAATCAAGACTTAGCTGATCGTTTTGGCATATCCCCAGCATTGTACATTCACAACTTGGATTAAAATGTTAAGTCAAGTTTTAGGACAAGCATTAGTTGTATGGCTTTCACATGAATCTATTCGTAACAATCTGCCACCTGTTTTTGTGAAAGCTGGTTATCAAAAATGTTGAGTAATTCTTGATTGTGCAGAAGTGTTTATAGAACGTTCAAAGTCCCTTGATAAGCAATCAAGCACCTGGTCAGAATATATGCATCATAATACATTTAATTTTTTAATAGGTGTTAGTCCAACTCGATATATTACATTTCTTTCTTCGTGTTATGGTGGAAGAGCAAGTGATAGGTTTATTACAAGAGATAGTGGTATATATAATCTACTAGAGAGAGATGACGAAGTTATGGCTGATTGAGGTTTTCAAATTCATGAAGATTTAATTTTAAATTTCTGTACTTTAGTTGTTCCAACTGGTGCCTGCTTGAAAAGTCAATTAACCACCAAAGAAGTTCAAAAAACTCAACATGTTGCAAATCTAAGAATACATGTAGAGTGAACTATAACCCGAATTAAAACATACAGAATTCTAAATGGAAGTATGTCAATTAGCATACTGCAACATGCAGATGACATTTTACTAACATGTGGTGCACTTTGTAATTTAAAACCAAAACTGATAGCAGACCCTAAACCAAAAATAAGTACTCATTAAATAAATTTTTTGTTGAGTCTTTTTTTTTTTTTTGCAAAAAGGTTTTTTGTTTTTGTTTTATTATTACTTGTACATGTATTATACTTATTAATGTACCTTTGTTCTTAACTTTGCAGGAACTTTTTTTTATTAAAATTTATTAATTCTTTACATTAATATCTTATTTCTATCTTATTTATTGTTAAAGTTAGTAATTTGTATTTGTTTTCTGCATATCGTCTAATTCCAGTTTCAAATTATATTCTTTTTTTAAATCTGCCTCAACTTCTACTGCTATTTTTATTGGTAGAACATTGTTTTCTATTGCAGCAAATACACGAGCAACTAGCTCTTCTTTTTTATCATTTAATTTTAATCCTCTTAACTTTAAATAGTTTTTTAACTCTTCAACTTTCATCTTTGAAATCATATTGTAATTCATGATAAATTTTATAGTAAATATTTGTTTTAGTAGTTTTAGATGTTTATACTTCGTTTTCTCAAGTAAATATTGTAGCGGAAGTATTTTTTTACCCCTCCTATTGGAGTTCAGACCTCTTAAAAATGACGTGTTTTTAATTCGCTCAATCGGTGTATTAGCAGGGCAAAATTATAATTTAAAAAATATTTCTGTGATTAATTCAATATTTTTTGTGTCATAAAAAGTCATAAAAATGAACACAGAAAGTGAGTTTACGTGAAGGGTATTTTTACAAAAATTAAACACTTTTTTCATGATTTAGACGGTTAATGTGACGGTAGCTTGTCGTTTTTCCAGTTTTTATCATATTTTTTAATGGGAGTTTATATTTGTGAAAAGTTTTATGGGGAATGCAAATCTATTAAGAAAAAATAATAATTAAAGATGTCTTGCTGGGGTGGGGGGACTCTTAACGAGAACGAGAAAATGACATAGATGACTAATTGAAGCGAAAAATTTTTTAAAAGTTTAATATAAACAACGTTGAAGTTTATGAAAATATAATTGATTAAAAAGTCATAAAAAATAACCACATAAAGGTGTTTTAGTGGATTTAAAGAAAATTTGTCATTTTTTTCATATTTTATACAGTTTAAGTTTTGATATCTGTGAACAAAGAAATAAAAAAGAGTTTATATTAAACTCGATAAACTATTTGATCTTTAACTTATAAGTGTCAAATAGTGGATTGTAAAAAATTTAGATGCAAAGTTATTTGTAAACAACAAGTCAACATTCAACATGCATTCCATAAAAAAATCTCCACGATAAGAGATACAAGATCTACTACAATTTGTATGAGAAATAGAAGCTGCACGAGTAAGTCAAAACCATATGGTACACTGAGGCTTGACTTAAAACCAACAAGAAGGAAGGAAGAAAAGCTTCTGTGCCTGCTATAATTAGGACAATAATGTGTTGGAGGTGCGGATAGACAAATGACCGTCGAGATGGAAATAACAAAAAAGATCCCAGTCAATATTATAGTAGTAGTAAGTCGTGCGATAATAGGGTAAGTTTGAAGAAGAAAAACGATATTAATATTTTAGTGAGATTACAGCATGGTCCTAACCATCAAAGTAGAACAAAATGAAATTAAATACAATTTAGGAGCAGAGACAGGACAGTTAAAGTAGTGAAGGTAATCTATTAGGGTTGTCTAGAAAATAAATTAATAAGTTAACTGAGTAATAGGTTAAGTTGAAACAATAATTTCGAGCTTTAGTTCCAGCTGGCTCAATCAAAAAAGCTGTTCTGTGTAATCAGAATTAAAATCGTTAAAAGCCGTTCTGTGTGATGAGAAGTAAAGCCTTCAATAACAACAATATTGGCTGATAGATAAAAAGAAAAAAGCTTTGTCAACTTGATTATATATATAACATCACAAAGAGTGCATTCTTGAGAATAAGAGAACGATGAAGAAAAAGGTGACTGAGTAAAGAGATGCTTAAAAGCACCGCTTTATTCAATTACTACTTTGTAAGTAAAACGCAAATTAATTGAAAGAAACAATAAAATCGAAGAAAAGCATTAAATTAACAACTAAAAGCAAAGTTGAAAAAAAAATGTTCGTGAATATAAACAAGTTATCAAAAGAAAACAAAAAGAACAATTGAACCCGTCATTTCAAAATGGGCACAAGTCACACTTTTTTCAAATTTCACTTTTTAATGCAATTTTATTTATTCAAGTGTTTTACATATTCCCTTAGAAGGAGAAACATTTTCATATGCCACAAGTCAACTTTAAATGCAAATAAAAAAAGTCTGTTTGAAAATGACACAAGTCCCGGACTTATGCCTTTTTCAAGTGAAACGAAGCGCAGCTGTAGTGAAGAAATTTCACTTTATTTGTAACAAAAATGGAAAATCGCGAATTTGCTGGAAATGCATATAGATCAAGAAAAAGAGTCTAAGAAACAGTGGAAATTATAAACACGAAAAAATAAAAAAAGCTAAAATGGCTTTAGAAGCTTATAAAAACTACAAAGGAAATGATGTGGCACCAAGTCAAACGGGTGCTTCTTGCAGGTTAGTTTTTTGTTCTATAGAGTATGACTATATTCGTTCTCAAATTTTTGCTTATTTACTCATGTTTTACCACCAATAATTGAAAGTAAAACATCTTGGTATATAATTATTATAATAATACCTCAATAGTTCTATTTATTTACAGATGTAATTCAAAGTCTATGGAGCTTGTATCTGAAGATTTTATAGAAAGTACAATTCAGTTTGTTAACAAATTTGATTGTAAAAATGCCCAAGACACTTACTTGCAGTCATTGATTGAAAAGAAGGAAATAGAGAAAAGACGGTTTAGATCTAAAGAACCTAAGAAAAAAGAATTTTCTTTTATTTATCACTAAGATTGATATTTATCATTAAGATTGAAGAAGTGATAACAAAAGTACACAAGAAAGCTTTTTGCTGTATGCATGGAATTTCTATAAAACAAGTTAGACGTTTATGCATTTTATTAAAAAAAAAAAAGAGCAGCCTATAAATCACTGAGAATCTCAGTGATCACAATGCAACGCATTACCTGAAGATACATTAACAAAGGTACGTGAGCATATCCAAACGAAGTATGTATCTTTGTGCTGAATTATATTTAAAAAAATATTAGCAACGAAGCCAAAGAACTGCACTTATTTTCTGATGGTTGTGCAGGCCAAAACAGAAATCATGCCATAATCCGAATACTTTTATCACTGGTAGCTGAACCAGATAGCAATATAAATAAGATACAATATTACATACCAAAAAGAGGTCACTCATTCTTGCCAAACGATAGAGTGTTTGAAACAGCAAAGCGACATTCGAAAAAATGATCGGACACCGACAGAGTATGAAAATCTTATAGCTGAAGCAAGCGAAAAATTTGAAATTAGAAGGCCACAAAACTGAAGATATTATTGATGTAAAAAAATGGTGGCCAAACCATTATAAGAAACTTGTGCTATCTGTGGATTCCTATGGAAAAGGAGTACCCAAGGACAAAAACTTACTTTTGGTATTTCTTAAGTCTCACATTTCACATTCTCTATTACCACACCAGGTTTAGTGACAACACGTGAATCCATAGATTGCTTAGTCAGTTATAATTTCCAGCTATTACAAAGGATGGATACCCGGTCAACCTTACCATTAAGTACTCCTGCATATGTTGGAAAATTGCCTATCAATGAAAAAAATATATCAGATTTGAAAAAAATATATTCCATATTCAATAGTACTCTTCTATCCAAAGGTTTTTGCTTCACCAACAACTTCGGCAAACAATGAATTCCAAGAAATAAGAGATGATTACCAAACAATAATTGTTTTTTTTTATGTAATAATAAATCATTATTATTCTGATAGTCTTTGGTTTTCTCGTATCTTTAGTTTCATTAGCACCATAGACTTTTTTTCTAATAAACTTATTTTTGTTGATCCTGAAAAGTTTGAATAAATGGACTTGTGCCCTTTTCAAAATGACGGATTCAATTATTAATTTTATTGGTTTACGTTGTTTGCTAAAAATACAGATACTGCGTTCTTTCTTTCGCTTTTATATGAAGAAAAGCAAATACTGTGTTTCAGTGTTTTATTATTTTTAATTGTGTATATTTATTTTAGCCAGCTAGAAACAAAATGTTTTAATATATATATAAAAAAAGATAATTTTAATAAAACGCAATGTTTTCAATGTTTTTATAACTACAAATTATAATATAAAAGAGAGTAAACATAACCAGACTTTAAGTGATTAATGAAATAATACATGTAGAATTTCATGAAATAATAAAACGCAATGTTTTCAATGTTTTTATAACTACAAATTATAATATAAAAGAGAGTAAACATAACCGTTACTGTAAAATAAAAACGTCAATCTAAAGTTACTTTAAGAGAAGTAAGACCAAAACAAACAGTTAAAATATTTGAAAAAATCAGATGACAGATTCAAATGCCTGTATGACTAGAAATCAGATGACAGATCCAAATGCCTGTATGACTGTCTAAAATAGTTGTCGTGGCACAACTGTTCTGCTTTCACTCTGATAGTTAAATTGTCTACATTAGACGTTTTCAGATTAATCCAAAACTTTCTTCTGTTTTCTGACATGTTGCGGACACAATTTAGAAACAATGTCATTTTTTTTTATTTGCTGAATTCTTTCTGCAACTATTTCTGGGGCAGGTTTCTCTACACCCAGCTTTTTGACTTTAGCTGTAAGGAATTTGAGTTCTATCGCAGTAATATTTTGGGGCAGACAACAAAATATTACTGCCTCTCTTTCTCTCTGCTCTCACATAAACCATATCCGAGAGATATAGTCTTAGGTTTATTTTATTCAGCTTGAAAGTGGAGTCCTTCCAGTCGCTAA